AATCTTAACAGACTGACAGGCCAACAATACAAAAATAGTTGTTTCTAGTGCACAGCACAAAACATAGATGCTTCTTAACAAACTGTCAGGCCAACGATATAAAAATAGTTGTTTCTAGTGCACAGCACAAAACATTGATAAATCCTAACAAGCTGACAGGCCAACAATATAAAAATAGTTGTTTCTAGTTCACAGCACAAAACATAGATACTTCTTAACAAACTGTCAGGCCAACGATATAAAAATAGTTGGTTCTAGTGCACAGCACAAAACATAGATAAATCTTAACAAACTGACAGGCCAACTATATGAAAATATTTGTTTCTAGTGCACAACACAAAACATAGATAAATCTTAACAGACTGACAGGCCAACAATACAAAAATAGTTGTTTCTAGTGCACAACACAAAACATAGATAAATCTTAACAAACTGACAGGCCAACGATATAAAAATAGTTGTTTCTAGTGCACAACACAAACCATTGATAAATCCTAACAAACTGACAGGCCAACGATATAAAAATAGTTGTTTCTAGTGCACAACACAAAACATTGATAAATCCTAACAACCTGACAGGCCAACAATACAAAAATAGTTGTTTCTAGTGCACAGCACAAAACATAGATTCTTCTTAACAAACTGTCAGGCCAACGATATAAAAATAGTTGGTTCTAGTGCACAGCACAAAACATAGATAAATCTTAACAAACTGACAGGCCAACTATATGAAAATATTTGTTTCTAGTGCACAACACAAAACATAGATAAATCTTAACAAACTGACAGGCCAACTATATGAAAATATTTGTTTCTAGTGCACAACACAAAACATAGATAAATCTTAACAGACTGACAGGCCAACAATACAAAAATAGTTGTTTCTAGTGCACAACACAAAACATTGATAAATCCTAACAAACTGACAGGCCAACAATACAAAAATAGTTGTTTCTAGTGCACAACACAAAACATTGATAAATCCTAACAACCTGACAGGCCAACAATACAAAAATAGTTGTTTCTAGTGCACAACACAAAACATAGATAAATCCTAACAAACTGACAGGCCAACAATACAAAAATAGTTGTTTCTAGTGCACAACACAAAACATAGATGAATCTTAACAAACTGACAGGCCAACTATATGAAAATATTTGTTTCTAGTGCACAACACAAAACATAGATAAATCCTAACAAACTGACAGGGCTACAATATAAAAATAGTTGTTTCTAGTGCACAGCACAAAACATAGATGCTTCTTAACAAACTGTCAGGCCAACGATATAAAAATAGTTGGTTCTAGTGCACAGCACAAAACATAGATAAATCTTAATAAGCTGACAGGCCAACTATACAAAAATAGTTGTTTCTACTGCACAACACAAAACATAGATAAATCTTAACAAACTGACAGGCCAACGATATAAAAATAGTTGTTTCTAGTGCACAGCACAAAACATAGATAAATCTTAATAAACTGACAGGCCAACTATACAAAAATAGTTGTTTCTAGTGCACAACACAAAACATAGATAAATCTTAACAAACTGACAGGCCAACTATATGAAAATAGTTGTTTCTAGTGCACAACACAAAACATAGATAAATCTTAACAAACTGACAGGCCAACAATACAAAAATAGTTGTTTCTAGTGCACAACACAAAACATAGATAAATCCTAACAAACTGACAGGCCAACAATATAAAAATAGTTGTTTCTAGTGCACAGCACACAACATAGATAAATCTTAACAAACTGACAGGCCAACGATATAAAAATAGTTGTTTCTAGTGCACAAATACAGACCCATTAAGGATTCACGTACCAGTGACTCCTTAAAACTGTAACTATGCAGCAGAAACTGCATGGTTTTTTCCCATCAGGATTTTAGCTTTGATGAATCCTTTATAAAAAGATGACCCTATCTGATGGGATTTTCATGAAAAAACCCAAAGATAATATAAATAAAATGTAAGCAATAACATTTTTCTGAGTGTAAAAAATTCTGCAGGGCCAAACCTGGTTTCGTACTCCTGCACACCAACATACCCTGTCTCCTGCATACACACACGCAAGTACGCATACACTACACACATGGAGGCATGTCCTTAAATGACCTTAGCTGTTAATAGGACGTTACACAAAATAAAACCAACCAAACCAAACTTCCAATTGTTATACTATTGCTCTAACCAACAGCTCAAGCTAACTGGTCAGCAGAACTGTCCTGGTCTAACTGTCCTACAGTTATATCAAATATGGAATTAAGGGGAGGTAACTGTATGTACTAAAATCCACAGTGCAATGGGGCAGGTATCCTTAGATATTGTTTGAGCCAATGATCAAATAAGCTTACAGTGCACTTGAAGTGTGCTATCTTGTTCACTCTTGTCTATTATCATTCTTATTAAGTTTTAACATTTTAAACTTCTTCTCAGATTGACAAAAAGATATTTTTCCAAAGTTTATCCCAAATTTATTCTTTTCTTAGCCCTGACCATGTTGTGATATTGTTTTGGCCATTTGAAATCTAAGATGACCATTGTACTTGCTTCTGATTGGCATAGAAACTTTCAGCTTCTTGCTATGGACAGCCAAACTGATTTTAACCAAACTTTGTAAAAGTAATCCAATCACAATGATAAAATGATTTTGACAACTTGACCTTCAAAATGGATGCTATTTCTTTGGTTTTCTGAAATATTTTTCATTTCTTCTTGAGCTGACTCTCCCAGTCAGTTTGTTATCACTGACCTACTTATTTTACATGAACGCTAACTGAATTCTTGTATATCACATGTATCTCTATAAGGGATATTGCACAACAAATAAATACTTGGAATGGCCTTACACTGTGCATTGTAAATCCTCTTATGATAAAGTAAGTGGTTGAATACAGACAGAGTAAGGCCACATAACATAGATCATTGTGAAGGCTTGGAGTTCTGTCAATTTTTCTAACTGGATAACAAGCTTTCTGTAAACGGGGACCTCTCCGATATCTTTCCGATCTGATCTCCCCTGACCTCCTCATCCAGCGCATTAGTAAAGTCTGGCTCTGTGACATAAGTCATATAAATCATTTACTTCTGGTATATCTATTCTTTACCCATGATTACCCTCATCATCGATCAAAATGTCTGCGATTTCACTTTCTAAACCTTTTTAAAACTCTCTTCAAAATCTTATTTGTCCAAAGAATTGTTGAGACTGATCAACAGCACTTTTGTGCAATATTTTATGAAATACTTAACAAGTCTTCTTAAAATTTCGGACAACGTTTGATGGTGCTGCATCAAATTTTAAAATGCGGAGTTATTAAATGGTAGGTAACCACCGTATTTGTTGTAATTAGCATCCAGGGTGCTTGAAAAATAGGCTAAAGGAGGCACTTATTCAGATAACCAATGCTACTCATTTTCAGGGAGAATTTATAAGTTGTTTTCCTTTTTGTGCTAAAACGATGGGAAATAGTTTGTCAGATTGCAATAATGTAGTTTCAGATATAAAGTTTAAATTGTTCTAAATGGAGAGAAGCAGAATGGAGGTGTTCAGGAAAGGGGCCTTGATTACATATCACATTTCCAAAAATTTCCAAAAAAGGGTTGGGGCACCAAATACTGTGAATACTATCAATGAAATTATTGCAATTGATACAAAAAATGTGTTGCAATCAAAATATATTAACTCATTCACCCCTGAACTTTCACAATGAACTATTCTAACCTTTGAATTGGAAGAGTTCAAATGTGTCTTCAGGGGTGAAAGAGTTAAAAGCTTTAAAAAAAAAAATCCCAATGGCTACATCAGATGGTGTATGAATTTTGTTCTGGAATCATCAGATTACATATTATACTTCAAGCTTGAATCAGCTGTATAACTCTAGCCGGACCAGCATTCTACGAGGAATTAAGGAAGTGTAATCTAACACAGTCTAATATTTAATCACTTTATTAAGATGATTTTTTGTTCAGTTTTGGGTCAAAATCAAGGTCATGAGATTGTGGTATGTAGTTATTTCTCAGGAATCAGCGTAAACATCATGATGATAAACTTTTGTGAAACAACAAAATTTATGTCCAAGGGAGATAACCCAACATTTAATTTTTTAAATAAAAAAAATGTTTTTTGTTTTTAATATTCATTAGGATAGTACCATTATTGTTCAATTGTTTAAAATCATGAAGAGAACATCATTAAATGACATTGGTTATTTTATTAGGTCACACATATATGTACATACAGATATATTTTTACACTCACAATAATTCCTGTAGGGCTACATCAATATTAAGTACTGTTTTGAAACATGGCTTTAAATACAGATTCTTGTATCTTATATACATGTGTAGCTGATACTGTGAGCCCCAGTCATACTCACGGATGGTTCATTCTCAAGTTTTAATTGTTTTATTTTTATTAGCTTGACATTAGTCTAAAGGAACTAAAAATCTGCAATATAAAAACATGTCAAAAACAAATAATTGAATTATTTTTCCATCCTGGTGCAACTACAGAAAAAATACTGTGAAAAGGAAAACAAACCATTACTAATCTAACTCAGAGAGATACATTCACATTGTAACATCAATTAAAATCCTTTTATAGAGAAAATACATAAAGATATTGAAGGACACAGATGCTTTAAAAACAATGAGAAATAATACATTTCCTAATACAAAATGTATAGGGTATTTTCTCATTCACCCCTGAAATTTCATAATGGACTATTCCAACCTTTGAATTGGAAGATATCAAATGTGTCTTCAGGGGAGAATGAGTTAAGAAAGTTTTATGCACTTAAAAAATGTAAAATCATCTGTGAAAGGACAGATGACTTACAAATAACACTGTTTAATTAAATTCCTCTTTCTATCACCACATGCCATTATGAGTGTGCATATTTTTGAAGTAAAAAGCCATTTGGAACCATTCAGTGAAGAATCTTGTGTGCCTCAATGTTCGTATCTGATATGTTGCCCCCACTTTGTAGAATGGAGAACGGCTGTTACTCGGTGCACCAGGAGCCTTTTATTGGCAAGGTAAGTTTTAGTTTGAGTTAAGTCCCTTATGAGAACTCTTTGGGATTAAAGAATGATATATATATATATATGATAAATTTACCAAAACAATGAACACCAATTACATAATACTGACCATTGTGAAAGCCCTATTAGGCTAGGCCTGGTACAGAATCAGAGAGGTAAAATAAATGTTTACCATTTTTAATTGCAATTTGTTAATCATAATTAATGGTTTTGGCTTTGTTTTGGAACAGCCAAAAAGTCGGTATAATTTCAATTTCAAAAATTTATCTTTGCAGCATGCTTATGCTTTACAAACATTTTATTACAGTCTATGTGAATTGTATTACAAAATAATTGATCTTCAGTTATAAAACAGAACATTTGGTTCTTCTTTTGAACCAAGTTTAGCCAACAACTTTACCATATCAAACAGGAACTATGATAGCTTTTGAATGAGAGAATACTGTTCTTTTAAAAAGCCAAATATATTTTTACAACTGAGCTTGAGTGAGACTCTAATTTGGATCCTAATCAGCTCATCAGCTATATAAAGAAAGCGACATTTGCTGACAGCTCTGCATGAGGATTTACAAAAATATTTATTAAAAGATGATTTACTGGGGGATTCTTCAAACTCCCAAGGCAATTTCAAAAAATGTTTATTTTCTTTTTTTGACACTGGTGGGAAAGGCTGTCATTAATTGTCTCCCTTGACTAAACTGACCGTCTCACTGTAGAAACAGGGTTCCTCAATAGGTCAGAAGTGTGATGTATCACTGGAAAATTTTATGAAGTTATAATTGAGTTTATCTTTCACTGAAGTATTTTAATGCTAAATTTTTTGAAATTTATAATTTCATTGAAATGTCTTTAATGTTTCATCGTATAATTTGAAGTATAATTTATTTTTTCTGTTCTGTAGGACAAGTCCACAACTTTTATCTGGACAGAGGCAACTCTAGGAAGGAAACAGTAGAGGAATCACAGGCATCAGATGACAGCTACAGAGGTAAGCCATTCAGGGAAGACAACTCACTGATGACCCGGTTTAGTAGTCATCTCTTTTCCCCATATTAAAATTTCCCCAGAGAATAAAATCAGCTTGTCAAATATGGCTGATTCTCCCTTCCACCCTTAGTTAAATGGTTTTCTTCCCCAGAAAAGTAATCATCTAGCGGATTATTTCCCCCTTCTGTCTTGTTTTATAGGGGGGTAACTATTGGCTATTGGATTCCCCCACCACCACCCCCAACCACCCCAGAATTGGTTTTAATGATAGGAGGGAACGAATGGCTAGCTGATTCTCCCCCCCCCCCCCCCCCCCCCCCCCTCTTTTTTTTGGGGGGGGGGGGGGGGGGGGGGGGGATTCTTGGCTAGCTGATTTTTCCTCCTCAGTATTGGTGCTAAGATATATGTCCTATTTGTGAGCATTTATTGAAAACTTTGTGTCTGTCCAATGATTACATCTCGTTATGCCCCCTCCCCCTACCCATCTTCAACCCCTAGACCTATTAGTGAAGGTGGTATTCAGTGTTTGTCTGTTCAGGGGGTATTACAACATCTTGGTTAGACGTTTTTGTTTAACCCATCCACCCCTAAAGTCACATTTGAACCATACCAAATCAAAGACTGGGCAAGTCCAGTTAAGATATGTAGGGGCAAATGAGTTAAGCTCCATCACTCTTATACTAGAAGTCCTACAGACATCAATTGTGTTAGCACTTGTCTTAATTACTTCTATAAGGACTGGGATTTTATAGATCATAATGGTAGATTGTCTTCAAAGTCACAAGGGTGAATAAAGTTGGGATCACCTTGGAGTTCATTATATACTGGTCATAATATCTGATGTTATACAAAATAATACTTTTCCATGTATAGGATAAATAAGGAAAGGGTATAGAAGATTGCTGAAATTTGTTTCGTTTTTTCCCCGTTTTTACTCGTGGCGTGATGTTACAATTTTGATAGGGTACGGTGAGAATGTTGTTGAATGCCTAGACTAGGTAGATCATAGTCTGCAATTTATAAAGTTTCTAACCCCTCGTGTACATAGTACACACTAATACGTTTTCATTTATAAGGAAGAATAATAAGAGATTGCCGAATTTAATCTCCGAATGTTTTATTGTTTTACTCCTGGCATTCCGTTAAGAGTGTGATCGTGTTGACAGCGTGAGTCGAGGGTGATGTCAGAGTGAGGAATATTGATAGGGGCCATCTACTCGGCACTCTTCTGTTTGGCTAAACGATCACAAATTGCACTTTCCCATGTGGCAGCCATTGCCGGACTACTCTGGAGCATGTACGTGACGGTTTACCATCTCTGTTCCAGGCTATTCCAGTGCAGTGGGCAGATTTGACGCAGACGAAGAAGATGGTAAAGATACCAGTTAAAATCCGACATGTAAAATGTTAATAGTCCACAGACCTGTTTGAATTGATGGGCTGTCTGTGAGAATAAGAAACTTCACGGAGATGATGCATTAGCATTATGTCTGTTAAAACACAGGATCTTTTATCAATCCCTTTTTGTACGATCAAACTTTGTTGTCTACCGTTTTAAGGGAACGTATCAAGTCCCTGTGTCAGTAATATTGGTCTTTGTCTTCTGATTCTGAGTACTATTTTAAGCCGATATTTTATATCATATGTTGAGTAAAAGGCTGTTTATAATTCCAGAATATGTACTGCGTGTCACTTACGTAATAAATCCTATTCCTATTAGTAAAACTGACAGAATATAAGGTCAAGGACATGTTCTGTATAATGAAAACCAATTCAATTTGCAAGGAACTGTTCTAGCATTTTATGTAAAACACACATACAAAATGTACGGTAAACAGATAATAAATTGAGCCTTTTGAGGATTCTGTTGTTGTAGAAACACACTTTGAATTCTTATTGTCTTCTTTTGTTGGTCAAATGAAATTAGCTTTGACAGATATTGTAGAATGGTACTTAAAAATTTCGACTAATGTAATTATTCACTGTCAAATTTTAGAGAACTATGTTCCATGTAATTTTCTTGACTTTCCATGGTACTGTGTAACATGAAATATTCGTGGGTATTTTCTTTCGTGGATTGAAGCCATTTACAATTATTTAGATCGTTTAGTGGTACAAACTCTCGTGGATACCCCATATATAGACAAAGTGGTTTCGTAGCCTCCACGAAAACCACAAATGTTTATAAACAAACATTTCATGTTATACAGTACAATGAATCCAGGAATTCAACAGGACATTACGTGGTCAAAAAACACTTCATTCCTTTCAAACTGAACTCTGTGTGAAATATCATTTTCCCAGATAAACAAAAAAACAGAATTCAAAAGATTGAAAGCTGTAGAATATTGAGGGTATTTGACAGTGATAGTTAGCATAAAATACTGTTTGCCTTTGACTTCTTTCAGTCTTTTCAGCTAACCTTTGACCCTTCATCTTTCAGACTATGTTGTGGGTGTGCCTAGGGCGGAATTTCTTCTTGGGAAGGTAATATACAAGAAAGATTGTGATTAGATTGGAGATTTTGTTCTGAAATATACTCTGACAGTGAAACTGTCTATTAAGAACACCTGTATAGAAAGACCATCTGTATATAATAGATATCATGAGTCCCATTGAGCCTGAAGTTTCTATAAAAACAAAAAAAAATATACAAAAATACCTACCTACATTTATTTAAAGATCAGATCACTTGTATATAAAGACAATCCCGAGTCCCATCTATCCTGAACTTGTTTTCACAATGATATAAATACAATCTTCTGTTTATTGGTGAATTGGTTGAACCGTCAAACAAAAATAAAATTATATGAAGAAAATGAGTCGGCGTAGAGACTATAATCTTAACAACCTCTCCTTTGTTCACCAGGTGGAGCTCTGGACTCAAAATATGTCATCCATCCTAAACATCTCGGGGGAACAGGTGAGTTTCAAACCCACAATGTTCTCTTCGACTCACACTTAGTTACCTTTAAAAATGTGTTACCTCCTCCTGTTTGAATACTGTGACACCTAGGGAGAATTTTTTCGATCTTATGTGGCAGACTAGTAGTAATCTTGAGAGGGTCTGGTTTCAATTCTAAAGAAGAAGATTTGAAAAAAAAAAATATTGACCTATTTTACATAATTATAAGACATTGAAGGTTATAGTAATTTGACTCATTGATATGTCAAACGCTTATATTAGTGATACATGACAGCCCTCTTAACTTGATGAACAGATAATATGATGAGACCCTATGATATTTTTTTTACACCAAATCTTGAACATCTTATTGCCCGACCTAAATACGTAGCACTTGACCAAGAATTCATACCAAAGATTTGACCTGTCAGATGTTGAGTGCTCCAGTGCTTCAGCGATAACTTTGTGACTTGATACAAAACTAAACATATGTGTGTACAAGATGCGCATGTTTACAATTTAATAGAAATTTATCAAAGGAGGCCAGGAACATGCAAAACCCATCAAGCAAGAATATCTGAATAAAGATTGGCAAAAAAGCCAGGATATGCTAAATGAAGCAAGCTTGAACATCTGAATAAAACGTGATATCTGGAAATAATCTGTTGTGTATAAGAAGATTGTAGCTTCCATAGGGGCTTGGCAAAGAAAAGGTAATTTGTATGTTTAAGGATTTCCAAACCTACTTTTCCTGAATAATTGATCATATTTCAACCAAATTTACTGCAAAAGCCCCCTTGGACGCTGTAATCAAATTGTACATCAATGAAGGCTGTTGCTTCCACGGATGCTGAGAGACAGAGTCAAAATTGGTAAAATATTTGTAGTACTATTTTTTGTGAGAATATTTTGTCATTATTGCTTAGATACCTAGATGAGTGATACCGGCCTCTGTGCCTCTTGTTTCTACAATTTCTTTATACATCTCCCAAATGTATCACCATTAACTCATTCACCCCTGAAGACACGTTTGAACTCCTCCAATTCAAAGGTTGGAATAGTCCATTATGAAATTTCAGGGGTGAATGAGTTAATGTCCTCTATAACACCATATTTGGATTGGACAATTGCTGGCAGTATAACAGGATTTTACTCAAATACGTTGGAGACATATGTGTGACAGAAATAGACATTAATTGTTGGCTAACCTGATTGTCACGGGAGACACATTTGATTGATGGGCCTCTTGTGTCAGTGACATTCTGTTATCGGGTGATGAAGAAACGTGTCCGGCATCATGACATAATCTATATCCATCGTTTAACATCAACAATCTTATAAGTTTGAATGTAACTCGATCATTTGTGTGCTATACTGGATTGGGAATAGTGTATTATATCTATTAAGGAGTTATGAAATAAAAGGTGAAAGGTTGAAAATCCCAATGGCCAATGCTTCTGCTAAAAACTGTAGTTATGAGTTGTAAAAGGAGACAGCTAACATGGAGGCCCCTTCAGAATTTGGGGCTTCCTTCTGTGTGTCCAGTTACACGGACATTGACGAAACCAAAGTTGATCTGTTGTTCCCATTGCAATCCTTTTCATATTTGTTTTCTTTCTCTCTCTGTCCTACTCTTTCTTTTTGCGGTGCCAGGGAATAGGGGCTGCGGTGGCCAAGTGGTTAAGGCGTCTGACACTCTGCTACAACTAGCCCTCCACCACTGGGTCGCAGGTTCGAGGCCTGCATGGGGCAGTCGCCAGTTACTAGCCGTTGGTCGGGTTTTTTTTTCTCCGGGAACTCCGGCTTTCTTCCACCACCAAAATACGGCACGTCCTTAAATGACCATAGCTGTTAATAGGACGTAAAACACAAACAAACAAATCTTTTGGTGGTGTCTCCCTTGACATTGTCTTTATATGACCTTGACTGTTTCAAGGACATTAAAACCTCGAACAAGTAAACAAATACATGGATAGCACTTTAGTATGACTATTTTCACACTCTGCTGATAGCATTGAATATGTCGGTCATCCCTTGAATGTTATGCACTTTAGAACAATTTCCTTGAGATAAGTTAGGGCGCTATACAAATGTTTATACATAAACACTAATATACATAAACACTAAAACATGTGTTCGCCTTCTGCTGTTTTCCATTTGTCAAATGATGTTATCTTTATTCTGGATTGACATGAGTTTATTTCCTGTAGGCATATTTATCATACAGATTTTTTTGTCATAATTTTGATTGAGCAGCTCAGAGGTGAAAGGTCAGTTAATATAATCACAGGGTCAAAGTGACATGGAAAGGTATCTCTTTTCTGCAATGTTTGCTCTTAGGTTTGAGAGTATACCTTACAACTTTGTCTTTAGCTTAGAGAGTATTTCTGTCCTACATGTGTTGCTATTGTTAGAGATAGATCAATTTTAATTGATTATGACATGGACATTTGATCGTTATGTCCTAAAACTGGTACTAAAGGTTTAAGAGTATCTTTGACAATTTTTGGTGATGTTGCATTATCTCTTACAACCTTATTTCTGGGATTAGAGGCTATTTCTGTAATACAATATTTTTCTGGAGTTAGAGGTTATTTCTGTCATACAGCCTCTGCTGGCGTTTTGTTTATATATCTACATCTACGTGTACCTATCCTATACTCGATGACTATGAAAAATTACCATTCGGAAATAACCTGCAGTAAGCCTGCTTGAGCTGCAGTTGCAGTTTTTGGAGGTATGCTAAGTATGTCCATTATTTTAGATACAAGAAGACCAAAATTACCCTACAAAATATCAAATTCTCACTGATTAAGGGATATAAACCATCAAAATATCAAGTTTAGCTGATAAAACCTCAACTTGAGAAGAAAGACTTTGAAAACTGAAATTGATGTACCATCAAGCAATCACAGCTCTAAGTAAGTTTGCTTGGATGAAAATATAATTACGCGAGGATTTCACCGATATCTGTTAGGTGCACTGTTTATATATCAGATTTCAGTTTTTGGGTATTACACCATTGCATGCGTTGATGTATACAAATTGGTGATAAGAAGGGACACCATCACGCATTCATCTGCTGCTGATAAGGCAGCTGTAGTTCCTGAAAGTGAGATGGCTTCCTCGTAATAAAAAACTATACACCCTAAAATACATTCCACGGAAGATATGTGTGTATTTTACCTGTGTTAGATATAACCAGTGTTAAATATAGCCTATTACACGCAGCAGACTTCTATACCCCATGTGTTAGGTAATCAGCTACTGCGTTTGAATCCAGTAAACATTTTGTGACAGGAAAACAAGCTTTTTATAGAACCTGAGGCTCTGGTATGTTTCTTATCAGCTCTATAATGATTTAGTAAGACAGCAGAGAGAAGCCTTTTCAATTACGTCACTCGGTACTAGGTTCACATTGAGGCAAGAAAACAAACCTGTTTGTTAATTCATTTTCTATAATTCTCTCATTATTTTAGAAAAAATCTTTTTCAAAAATAATTTGTTAGAAACATTATAATCTCTTATACATGTGCTGAAAATGTACAACTCACAGTCTATAATTTTCAAATTGCCATTTGCTGAAGAAATACATTTACAACTGGTCATATATTGGGTGCCCTAATATTAACGCATTCACCCCTGAAATTTCATAATGAACTTTTCCAACCTTTGAATTTGAAGAGTTCAAATGTGTTTTCAGAGGTGAATGAGTAGCTAACAAAGTAGACTTTCTGCATTGAGTGGTGACTAACTTCTTACTATTTTTGTTACTGATTTTCTATTGTTGGTGCCCTATGAGGGAACATTATTCGCATAGATGCTGGATAAAATTGCCTCATTCCGTACTTTCATTGTGGAATCACATTAACAGATGTCCATAAAGCAGTCTATGTGGAAATTGAAAAAGAATTTGCGATAAGATTTACGAAATTTGGAACTCAGAGCGACTATAATTTTTACTTGAATTATTTGAAAGTTTTCTTGCACTGTTAGATTGCTTTATGTAATAAAAAGTCAGGGTTAAATTCCTTGTGTACCTGCATGGGTCAATACATCAAATATAAATAGCACTTAAAACAGGCACAGTGCAGGATTTTGTGTGTAGAATTGCTCTGTCTTAAACAGGATCAGTCGGATATAATGTGTTCGTTCAACAATTTTCAAGAAGTACGTATTTGATTTAATTGTTCATCTCTGAAAAACACAAATAATATCCAAGAGAAAAATCGGCAACAACAAACTAGAAACTTGACGAAATCTGTTTCAACGGAAAATTCTGTAAGGAAGGTGATTTTTTTACCATATTCATAAAATCTTTTTAACTACAATATGTATTGCTAATATTTGAAAAGAAAATAAGACAATTATTAAACTATGTTATAAATTACATGTAAGAAGATATTTCAAACAAACTGAAACAAACACCAGATGTAAAAAAAAGAGAAATTGAGTTATCTAACAAAATCTGTTTTAGTGGGTTTTAACACTGTAAAGTGAATTGAATTCCCATTAACACATATAGCTTATCACATGTTCATTGTCTCTGATAAAATAAACCAAAACTCCCATCACCATTTTCAGAGATTAAAAAAATAAAGAATGTATAATTGAAAATTAATCAATTGTTTCACAAGTAAATTAAATACATTAACTGATTTGTCGAATTGTGGATAATACGTTTTAAGTTTTAATAAGCCTTATTGATATGCATGCTACACCTTGCACAATCAGTTTTTATTGCAGAGTAACCTCCCTTAACCCTTTCATCACTGTAGACCATAATGGACTCATCCAGGGCAAAGCATGGAAGAGTTTATTAAAGTTACATAGGGTTGAAAGGGTTAAACATCAAATACCATATTATCTGATCAACCAATGATAACAGATTTATAAATTTCAGCTTATTATTCATAAAAGTTTGTTAGTGTAGAAATCTTTTGAAAAGGAGATTATAAAGATTTCTTCTTGGTGTAGAGCTCTTTTGGATTGGAGATTTCTTAGTGTAGAGCTCTTTT